CTTTTCTGTTGTAACTTTCACACAATATTGAGTTTCAACTTTCAAACCTTAAACCAATGAAATAGAACTATGGAAGTTATATTTTAATAGTGTGCAGGATTTCTCGCTCGAATTTTTTGGTGTCTAGAGGCTGCCATATTGTAAAGAAATAAACACTTTTTTGCCGCAAGATTGCAATATTTATCTCCCATCTCCACATCTCTATGGGTATTACGGATACAAACAACGGAAGCTCGCAGTGCACTGCGGCCTTCAGCAGTGGCTATACTAGCTGCGCCGGTAGTATAGAGTGCACGCTGCCGCCCCATATCTGCTGGAGCTAGAGGCAATCGCGCGAGGACCGAAATGTGGAGAAGTTTTACGTTGTGAAAATCATGAATCCTCTGAAATCTGGTGATTCCAAAAGACCAGCAGATAATGAACCTTGACTAGTAAATCAACCGAAAGCTAAAATTAGTAAAATGAAAACCCAAGTTGGCAAGGAGGTGAATGTATACGCGGACTTGGACCCGAAATTTTTGTACAGAGGGAGGAAAATCTGACCATTAGCTGCATGTTATAACTTGTAAAGTTGTTAGAGGGAAATAATGCAGACTATTAATGATAATGATGAAATAGCAAAGAATTTAGGAGTATCATGGGTACCAATTCAATGGAAATTTGTATTAAAAAAGAGCCCCCGTCAGTACTAAAAGAGCCCCTGTGGACAAAAAATTAATTTGAGCCCTGGTTACATGCACTTTCAATTTTTCGAGATAGGAAAGAAGGAAAAGTTACAATGTAAGATCACTTATACAATTTTGGCTTTTTGAAAATTTGACTTTTGGGTTATAAACTTATTGTTAAATGATCCATTTAAAGATGAAGTTGAGTTCTGGTCATGCAATTGCATTGTGAAAGAAACGGTGTGAATCTATCAGAAAGGTTGATCATCTAGCATATAAGTATTGGTGTTTACTGCAAGGTTCTGGAATCATCAAAATGATACAAAAATTTGGCCCAGTTTTGGTAATGGGAGAACATCTTTATCACCTATTTATTTGCTATTTGAAATACAGGGACAATTGCAAATCTTGTACACACACGGTTACTATGGAAGCTGCTCCCAAAGTGGAGGATTGCTTGCCTTTTTCGCTCTCTCCAGGGGGGTGTTTCACAAAGACTAAGATTGACTTTAAGTTGGACTTTAACTATGGCAGGCCGTTCATGCCTCTGTTTTCTCTCACCATTAAGGCATTGGTCTCTCAAGGGACGTACAAATCATGGTCACAAATCTACAGAATTTACATTTTTAGATATTTTATTATTGAAGGAAAAAATATTATTTAAAGATCATAATGGGGATAGCTACCAGTGGCATGAATGGCCTGCCATAGTTAAGTCCAACTTAAAGTCGATCTTAGTCTTCGTGAAAGACCCCCCAGATCTGCTAATGACTTTGCACATACATGTTCATGGACCCTTCATTCACTGCTAAAGATAGTGTTCTTCTTATCATGTCACTTTTTCCAGATTCAGACGAGCGAGGAGCTGAGTAGAATAATGGGAGACATGGCTATACCCGATGCCTCTGGTCCATCCAGTAAGGGTGATGACCTTTTAGAACTGATGGACAGCGCATCATGAGGTCAAAGGTCACAGTAGTTTTAAGATTATATCTTGATGTATACATTCTGTAACGTGCCATGATGATGATCGATACGTGCGCTATATAAGAATCCAATATTATTATTATTATTATCATATCGTTCTATGAGACTGCTTGTGATATTTGTGCTGCTCCAGCAATCGAGAACTTCAGTCATTCTTATTTAAGTCTCAAGATTCAACAACGTATCTATTTATACATTCATCACAAAGGCTCTAAGAAAATCATTGTTCAGTGCCTGTTTGGCAATTTTTGCTAACTTGCCGTTATGTCACTGGATTCGCGAACTACCGTAGATGCATACAGGAGATATATTTGTTCACGAAACCAGCTGATAAAGCTGTACACCATGTTGCTTCTGTATTGAAAGACACTGCCTAATATTTCTGACTGTCCAAGTGCATGTAGGGTAATTTAGATAGTAAATTGGCATTTCATACAAAAGCATCGTGCACATATGGACATATAATTGATGAACGTAGAATGTATATTGTATACATTACTTGGTAGATGACATGAATTTCATTTTGAATTTAGGAGCGATGTCAATTCTGCATACATGTTTATAAAAAAATCTAGGAGTGGTAATTTGTTTTTCCTTTTTTGTGTGTGAGTGTTTGTTTTCAAGTTGCTGTCACTTTAAAAACACAGTACTAGCAGTTTGTTATAGCTATATAAAAGCTAATTACTTAAGAATTTCTACCACTCTTGCAACCTGTGTGAATTATATGCACTTATATGTAGATGATTGTGAAGTAAGAATAATGTCTGAAGTTCAGAATGCAAAATAATCAAAGAGGTTTTTATTTGAGAGTAGTTTTGTTTTGAAGGTAAATACAATGTCAATCAAGGTCATAGGTCATGAGGATTATATTGACTGTTATAGAGCGAGAGGGTATTAATATACTGTATTAGAGTTAACGCCTTCTGGCTGTGGAAAGGCGTTATGTATGTTTGTTTGTTTTTGATAGTACAACTAGATGTACTAATACTGAAATGGTCAGTTTGAAGACGGAATGGTCTTATACACACTTGACGTATGCCCTTCTGGCTCCATAGATGACATATCGTTGAGCGAGTCATTTTCTCCTCGTTGCTGCTCTCCACCCATGTGAACATCAAGGTCATAAATCTCCTTTTTCTGCAAGGAAAATATATTTATTTACACTGACACTTTAAGATATAATTATTGCACATGCTTTTACACAAACCCTGTATGAAAAATCCATCAATATTCAACAAAGAAAATTGAAATTTATGACAGGTTCAGTACAAAGTAAATGGGAGGGATGCTTAAAATGTGCAAAATGTTCACTTTGTAAACATATGATCAACTCTTACTGATCTGTTTCCTTAATGTTATTATTTTTTTGCATTTATTAAGACCAACTTAGTAGATCACTTTTATAAACTTTGGCTATTTCTGTTTTGTTTTGTTTTTTGTGTTTTTTTATTTGTCAAATGCGTTATTTTGGGTGCAACATATTTTTCTTTAAAGATAGTGGAGTGTTTTCCAAGTTTCAAAGTTTCATAACTTTTGTGTGATGTTTTAAATAGTAGTTACCCTATAGAACCGTCCGCTGGGGTTTGTGCATTTACAATGTAGTCTTACGTGAAACAGATATTTCTGTTAATGTTTTGTTACTTTTCTGCCTGTATTAATAGACTTTCAACTATTCATTTATAAATATATCTGCTGAAGGGAATGTAAAAGAGACAATATTTATATTTTCCCCAGGTCTAGATTACTTTAAATTGTAACTGTGTGTCCTCTGAAATTGAAAGTAGATTTAATTTGCTCATTTATTTTCATTGCATTTCCACTCTGATATGATGATTATATTTCTCAATTAAAAGCGATCCAAAGATAGCAATTTGCACCAAACAGATTTATGTTCTTTCACTTTAGTTGGATTGAGTGATGAACAAAATAATTGCGGGATACATAGTTTAACTTAGTCATGAAACTTTGTTTTAACATCATAATAATCGTATATGCATTTTAAGGTTGTGTTTCCTTTTATGACATTCTAAAAAGTACTGTTTGATAAGAATGCTTACATGTAGCTTCAAATTGCCGTTGCCGTTGTACACCAATATTCACCAATGGACCAAAAATGAATTTCATTTCATGGAACAATATTGTGAAAATATTATTATGTTTAGCATCATATCAGTTATTCAGGTAATAACTTAAATTATATACCTCACTTAAGAAATCCAGCCATCTGATTGGTCGAATTGCATTCATAAACTTCAACTGTTCCTGTAAAATTCTCGGTAACCATGCTTAAAACATTTCAATATTTTTAATAACCATGGTTATTAAAAATAGTTGGTCAGCCTCCATGGTTACCCCATAGGTTTACATGTTAAAAAATGGTTTGAGCGATGGAGGATGCCGTATGTGTGCGAAGGATTGGTCGGTAATTTCAATACAATTGAATCTCGATCGATCTTACCGACAATTTTATCTTGCATTGTTGACATGAAGACGAAAATAAACTTCCAAAAACAAAAAAACAACATCTGCCGATAGATCTTGATCTATGCATTGCAAAAGTAAAAGAAGAGTCCGTATATGGAGCTTTTGCGAAGCATTCATCACACGCGAAGCCGGTTTCAATCCATTTTAATGTATATATCGGAGAAAACTGCCAAGCATGTTAACGGCGGGCCATAGCCGAGTGGTCTAAGCGTTGGTTTATGGTACACCTCTTGTTGTACGCAAGAGTTCGAATCCCGTCTTCGACAAAAATGAGAAATATTTTTAATTTTTCATTTTTTAGTCTATTTTTTTTCGGCATATAAAAGTATTAATGACTGCTTTAATATTCGAGAAATAGTTGTTTTCATACGCTCTCGGGAAGGTTACAATTGGGCTATTCCCCTCGGCAAGCCTCGGGGAATAGCACAATTCTAACCTTCCCTTGAGCGTAATAAAACAACTATTTCTCTCAAAGCAGTCATTAATACTATACTGTTTGTCCACTATAGTCAACTTACGGAACAAACACTGGCTTGCCACATTTGACTTTTCACACATGCAACATGTAAAGGCCATATGCACTCCAAACAACGTAGCAGTCTAGAATTTCATTCAGCAGCGAATAAGGAGTTTATTAAAGTGCAACCATATGCATATATGTGCAGTAGACATTTCTTCTACATATGTGTTTATGTATGCAGGGCCCTAAAGGATAAGTGTTAAAATAATGATAGTAATAATAATAATATTAATTAAAGGTTTTTGTATAGCGCAATATACATAGGCATATAAAGTAGATGTATGAATGAGTAGAAACAATGAAAAATAGAATAAAACGTGTAGATGGAATGTTTTACCAGCATAGTGTCAATATGATTGGATATGATTGATTTATATTTTTTTAGTGAGAAGGGACTACTTCATGACCCTGAGATGCGATTCTTTGAGGAAGCCTTAGGGTGCTTGATAAAGGTGAAAGAGATTGATGTCTTAGAGAGACTTCATGAACTGCAGCAGTTACAACAACCCGCTGCCGACGGGGAGAAAGCATGGGTAAGTCGACTTTCATGGCCAGAATGCAAATGAGTGGTTCCGTGCAAAATGTCCCTCACGTCACATCTTTTTTCATCCCAAATTGAAAATTCTTTTGATACGACCATTGAATAATGGTACTTTCTCATATCACTACCATTAGTCATAGTATTAATGCACATACAGTCAAACCTGTATAGAAAGACCGCTGAAATGTGTCTGATACAGCATATGACATTAATCCGTATACAGTCAATTTTGTATGCCAAATCAGACACATTACAGCGGTCGTTCTATACAGGCTCGACTGTATATGGATTAATGTCATAATCCGTGTCAGACACATTACAGCCGTCTTTCTAGGCAGGCTCGATTATATATGGATGAATGTCATATGCCGTTTCGGACACATTACAGCGGTCGTTCTATACAGGCTCGACTATATATGGATGAATGTCATATGCCGTATTACATCAGTCTTTCTATACAGGTTTTACTGTATATGGAATAATGTCATATGCAGAGCGCAAGGAGTGTCAAGTCTGACAGACATCAGCGCTTTACAAGAACCCACTATTATAATGTAATCACGTTTATTTTTGCTTTCCCCCTGATTACCTTTTTTGGCATCAGAGTGCTGATGCAAATGCAGAAAGCTACCTCAAAAAGGGACAGCCCTACACTCATCTGACAACAGAGGGCAGGCTTTGCAAGTTAGGACACTTCTCGCCCATCCGTTGTAAAGCCGGACAACATAAAGTAGCACCGATCAGTGTCATCATCAAAAAGGTAACTTCTATACTTGTTCCTTTGGATATGATAGGCATAGGGATGTTATATTTGCCAACTAAAAAAATTGCGTAGGTCACTTCCCTTCCCCTTCCATTCAACTTTCTAACGGACAATTTGTACTACATGTATATATTTCTTTTTAAAATTTTGTTGAAATTTGTTTAAAACATGACAATTTTTTAAATATTTTGTTAGTTACTTTGTTTGCAGAATTTTCTTGATGCTTATCGGTAAATTGATGAGGTGTGAGGACCTGTATTTATAGTGCTCTGATATGTGCCCCAGCAACAATTGCTTTATTTCATCAAAAGGCGAAAGAGGGTCATGTTTGCAAGTAGATTTTGGGTTAGGTTTAGAGTTGGAATTAGATTTAAGTACCGTGCTAGGCTTGGTCCTGGGTTGAAGTTATGAACTTATTTTGCGGTAGTGCTGTAAGTCAGGCGCCATGTTTAGGTTCTGTTCGGCAGAGTTAGGCAATGTTTTACACAAACTTGGTTCGGTCCGGGGTTCGGTAATAATAATAGCAAGCAGTGTTATAGCTATGGTGCGATAGTCGGCACTGGGTAGCCAGGCCGGGCGGGCCGGCCAGCACGGAGCTCATTCTGCCCACCACTCCTGGTGAAAAACAATGCTTCTGATCAGCACGAATTTCACATAAATAAACTGCTTTAAAGGGAAAGTCCACCCCCAAAATATGTTTGTTTCGATAGAGGCAGAATAATAAGAAAATCAGGTGAGTGAAAGTTTGAGCAAATTCTGAATGAAAATAAGAAAGTTATGAATTATTGAAGTTGTGATCAATCAAATACAAATTGGCAACTCTGTGACTTATTATACGAGCTCTCCATTTGCTTTGTGCATAATATTCCATAAAATCATGTTTTCTTCGTTATTGATGACGGAATATATATTTGTTCCTTGCAGGGGGAGTATAGAAACATATTTGCAATTATTATATTTAGGGTGCATGTATGGTTGAAATTTTTCTTGAGGGAAAATGAAAATTTTAGATTTTTTTAGTACTGAGCAAATGGAAGTTGAGCTCGCATGATACGTCATAGAGTTGCCAATTTGTGTTTGATTGATCACAACTTCAAAAATCCTAACTTCCTTATTTTTAATCGGAATTTGCTCAAACTTTCACTGACTTGTTTCTTTCATTTTTCTACTCCTATTAAAACTAACTTAATTTCAGGGTGGACTTCCCCTTTAAAGAAAAGTAGTACTTACATTCATATTTCCGTCTTTAGTTAAGTTTTATTTGCAATTTTACAAGATTCATTTTTTCAATTTGAAAATAAATGATATTTATAAAATGTTTGCCGGGATGGTTGTTGTCTAATGTTACAATTCATGGAAGCTGCCATAGGCCCAGGCTCGTTCGTTTTCTGTTCTTTGAAATGTTTATTTTTTAATAAGGTAAATAACAAAGTTCCTAATTTTCCTGGATAAATAAATAAAAATCTAGTTTGTGGAGGATATGTATGTAGACCGCGGAGCATGTGTCGTACAAGCGTTTTCCTTTTCTTACTCATCTATGCTTCTTAGGTCCGGTGCTATCCCAGTCTCACCGCTACTCTCCAGATGCTTCATTCTAAGAGTCAACCGTTCCTCGAAGGCATCATCTCAAGCTGTCTTTGGTACAGGCAGATCAAAGAAGAAAAGCTACTTGTCTGTTCTACATACCTCTCAGGTACTGCCCACTCTCCACTTCTTAATTCTTCTTCTGGTGATCTTCAAAGGGCTATTCAGCCTATCACAATATTTTAAAACTAAAGATTGCATGAGGTATGAGGAAGAAAAAAGTAGTTTAATGGGATCAGGGCATTAGATGCCTCAGGAGTAGTCCTTGGAAGTTCTCTGGACTGTCAGGGTGCGCTAAATTTACTGGTAGGCAGTCCCATTGATTGGTCTGTTGCCAGATTTCAGACCCTGTCACCCCTCTGTTTCAGGCCTTTGCAGGTTTTTATTGTACAGAATATATGGGGATACTTTATTTCTGGGTCACTTTCCAAGCTGTAGGGGTGAAACCAACTAGTATCGCTGCCTTTGGCTAGTTTTTAGCTCATCCGGCCCGAAGGGCCCAATAAGCTTATGCCATGGCGTGTTGTCCATCCGTCCACAGTTTTCAAAATGCTTTTTCTTCGTTATTTTTCAACCGATTGTGATTCTGATTGTTTCATATGATAGGGCTAGGAGGGGGATTTATAACTTCTACACAGAATCGTGAAATTTTATTATCTATGCTAATTTATGCAAATTTATTCGAAATCACAAAAAATGCTTCTTCTCCTTCATTTCTTGACCGATTTTGATTTGGTTTGCTGTATCTGGTAGAGCTAAGTTTGGTACACTAAACTTCTACACAGAATTTTGAAATTGTTCTCCATTAATATAATTATGGTAATTTATGCAAATTTATTCCAAAAGTAACAAAAATTGCTTCTCCCTCATTTCTTGATTGGTTTTGATTTTGTTTGCCTTATCTGGTAGAGCTAAATTTGGAACACTAAACTTCTACACAGAATTTTGAGATTTTGCTCCATTGATTAATTATGGTAATATATGCAAATTTATTCCAAAAATAGTTTAAAAATCACAAAAAATGCTTCTTCTCCTTCATATTTCCACCGATTTTGATTTGGTTTGCTTTATCTAGTAGAGCTAAATTTGGTTTACCAAAATTCTACACAGAATTTTGAGATTTTGCTCCATTGATCAATTATGGTAATTTATGCAAATTTATTCCAAAAATAATTTAAAAATCACAAAAAATGCTTCTTCTCCTTCATATTTCCACCGATTTTGATTTGGTTTGCTTTATCTAGTAGAGCTAAATTTGGTTTACCAAAATTCTACACAGAATTTTGAGATTTTGCTCCATTGATTAATTATGGTAATTTATTCAAATTTATTCCAAGAAATAACAAAAAATGCTTCTTCACCTTCATTTCATTTTTAAAGTTTTGTGCAAAATATTAAGATGATAAAAAGAGGAGAAAAGAGAGGTTAAAAATTAAATGTTCAGAACGCATTTTGTTTTCAGCAAAGTTCAAAAGTGTACCACATAAAATTGTACGATATTTGTTGTTGCGAGATGCGGATGAGCGCTACGTCATTGACGTTCTGGTTCATAAAGAAATCCAGGTTTGTCTGGATAATCCACTGATTTATGGAATGCAAAATGCTAGATTTAGGTGTCATGACTCACCACTGCACTCTGATGAATTATTTATTCATGTTTAATTAATTAAATCTCATCTCATCGGTTCTTCTAATTCTTCCAGAAAAGAGTCTGTCGTCCTTATTGGACTATAGATGAGACACTCTTGAGAAGTACTGGATTGAAGCATGCGAAGCTGCAGTTACGCTTCATGAGTCTGGAATACTCTACCTCAATTGGAAAGGTAATTCATCTGCTTCATTTGGGACTTAACTCCGTTTCGTTGACAATCAGCCATGCATCAAGTCTTTCATCTACTTTGTGCATCTGATGGCTGATCATTACTGAAACGGAGTTCAGTCTTTTGTCAACTCTTGTTTGTTGATACGGCAGGCAGCCAGTGAAAATGAATTTGTTTAATCAAATTATGGAAATGAAAGCATTACTTTATACCAACAGCACTTTGTTATTCCTAGCTCATTTTTCCTGATTGAGGTGTCATATGAAAGGGCAGAAAATGAGCTTTCTAGAAATGTGATTTTCTCTTTGAAATTCCGATACCGCCCGCCAAATGACTTTTTGATACCCTCTCTTCAAATTGTTTTTAATCACTCATGTATGAAATTTGCATCATTTGAGTTGCATCATCTAAGCCTTACAAATATGTGTCATTTATTAATTATAATTGTGATTATGTTATGATAAACATTGATAATTCTCGGTATTGTTTTTTCTGGGACCCACTGTTTTGGGGAAATTTCCAATTTGGTTGCCCAAAAGCATAGCAATTTTGTTGCGGCATATGGTACCCGATTGTTAAGATGGTAAAACTGTATGAATACAACATTACACAAAATATGTGTAATACTCTAGTTTATAACGTCATGAGAATATGTTGGGGGCTGTAAAAATATCCCATATTATAATTAATATTGTTATCATTATTATATGTATATTTTTAATTGTTATTATTATTATTGATATTATTAGTAGTATTGATGTTATAATTACTATTATGTTTTTTCTCATAGTGGATCATTTAGTGGTGACTGATCAAGATCGTGTGAAGCTGTGCAACTTTGACTACGCCGTCGATATCCGTTCCTCCCGTCGGGGGCTGAGAGGATCATGCTCTGAGGAGTGGAGAGGAACGGAGGTTCCGGAGCACGTGAAAACTGGGCTGGATCCAAGGATAGCTCCCCCAGAGGTAAGAGCAGGGTTGACTTTCACTGACTCAATGGCTACTGAATTCTATCTTTCCTGCAGATTTGATACAGGGATCACTTGTTTCCAGTAGGCAAAGTGAAGTTTAGCTGGATAGATACAATCACAAGTTATCATTCGTAACAGAATGTGGCTTACATGACTGTATTATCATGTAGAAGTCATTGTTTATAAGTTATTACTCCATTTTGTAGAGGTTAGATGAAAGAGGACTGTTGCCCAAGTCAGATACAAATGTGTATGTACCTAGGGCATTGGATGCATATTACATGTACTGTACAATGATGGATGACTTTGATTCTCAAGTGATACGTGGAAATGACTTTAAAGACGCATAGTTAATTGATCAATTCCTCCTTTTCTTGCTTGATGTAGGTGCTAAATGGGGATGGACTGATGCCGGAGTCAGATACCTGGGGTCTTGGATGCCTATTGTATCAGCTTTACAATGGTGGATGCCTCCCATATCCTGATCTCAGGCACTTGAGTGATGATGCAATTAGGGAGAAAGTAAGATTTAGTCTGTCATTATTATTTTATTTCTGAACACCTTTACCTGAATTCACAAAAAGAAGGTTTGATTTTACCCCTGGTCTGAAACATGATTATAGTTTTTATTCATCGATCATAGATAGGAACCTTGAACTGCCATATTGTTTGGAGTATATGTTATATTATCATATATATTGTAAAGGTGTCATGGTCCTGTGGATATGCCCTTGGACTATGAATCACTCGGTTCATGGTTCAAGGCCCTCCGCGACACTAATGTCCTTTGGCAAGATATAAGTCCATACTTGCCATTCTCCACCCAGATGCTAAACAGGTACTATATAAACTATATTAATTAACCGTATCAGACATCTGAGCAGGGCAATTTTTAAATGTTATTGCCCTCAAGGTTTGATGGATAAGCCAACAAAACTACAGGCGAAAAAAATATTATTGACCGCTCAGAAAAGTCAATTGGATTTTGTGTGTAATTTGCCGGTCAATACGGTTATACAGTAAACCAATGAACAAATATTGTTGCCCGATCTGAAAAGTCAACGGGATTTTGTGTGTAATTTGCCGGTCAATACGGTTATACAGTAAACCAATGAACAAATATTATTGCTTGATCTGAAAAGTCAATGGCAAAATTCGTGTTAAACTAGTGAGCAATAATATAGAGCCAGTCGTAATTTACATAGCTCATCAGCTACTGTAATTTACATCGCGCATCGCGTATAAGAAAATGCGCACTTTGCGGCGCGAACTCTATTGTGATGTAACAATCACACCCTAGGCACACTGTTTGCAGTGTATCGAAAATTTGTCAAACTCTGGATGCACAGTGCTGGTTTGACGATGTTTTTGCAACTTCTAATGTTAGGAAACCCTGTGCAGTGTAGGCTACATAATTTAAGAGTATAAGATAGTATGAGTTTCTAGTTTGCTCTAGATGTCTGATGTGGTTAATAGTAGTAATATTGACTGCCTACCGGTAATTCAGGGCAGTATGTCGTATTGCCCAGAAGGCAGTCAATATTACTTCAATATATACTGATGTGTGTTCCACTGGTCAATCAGAGCCAGTAAAGAGTTAAACCTCTAATCTGGACTAAAATAATGTAAGTAAGCGTGTATAAAACACTTGGCAAGATACCAAGCCCTCTGCCAAGAATCAATGTAGATGTAAGCATCTCATTTCCAGCCCCTTAGACATGAAGACACACATGTGTTACGCTTATGGGGGTTTAAGCCATGTGTTGACTGAAATACAACTTTTTGTTGAATTCAGGCCATACAGTGTCAATTATTTTCCTCAAATTTGTTTACATTTATGTATGAAGAATTACATTTTGCTGAATCCATTCCTATTCCTGTTTCTATTCCTGTATCGATCCTATCCCTATTCCTATTCCCATTCTGACTTAAGTTTAAACTGAGACTCTCCTTTAAAAACAATTTTTTGTTTTTGTTTCACCACCTAGAGGTTGACTGAAAAACATTCCAAGCTTGTCCCTGCTTCACCAAAGATCCAGTTGCTGTCTGAGATGTGCTGGAAGAAAGATCAGATGGAGAGGAAGTCACCAGCAGAGTTGGTAACATCGTTAAATGTGTACAAGAAGAAAATGGCAGAAACGAGGTACAGATCACATGAAACTGCTCAGCAGGAACAGTGATTTTTGATGTGTTTATGGAGATGGAAAAGAAACTTGAAAACAGTTCAGTTTCGCTGTCATAAAACTTGATATCAATGAGAAGTTACATTGGCTATTATGCACTGAAGTCGTTGTATTTGATTGGCTGTGAGCAAGTTTTGAAACAAAATAAAAATGGGCACTTGTTATTGATAAGAAAGTTTGATTAAATAGAGCCTTGGAGTGTGGGGAATACTTCTGCTTGCTGGAAGATATTCTTGATAAAAGTCTTGAAGTTACTTCAGTGACTAATGGAAGGCCAGGGACCAGTTTCACACAGCCTTTTTTCAATGACAAATGACAAAAATCAGTGACAAACCTGCTGATAACCAATCAGAAGCAAGGATTTCATTTGTGACTGATGACAAGTTTTGTGAAATGGGGCCCTGAAGTTATGTATAAATTACTGTAATTATGTGAGTTAAGTTTTGATATTAGTGATGTCTTTGGTGCCCATATTATTTCACAGTGACAGCTAGTATAGATTTGGCACCGTAAACAAATACATTCCCATTACCTCATTTTTGTGTTTAATGAATGTGCATTCAAATCTGAAAGAAAATATTTCTATAGAAATAGAGGAAAGATTTGCGGCAAAAATAGTCAATTCTGACTACTTGCTGGAAATTTTTTTTTTTTTAAACACTACATATTATTTCATGTAGTATTATATGATCAGGGTATTCTACAATTTATTTTTTACTTCACAAAAGTTTTATGTCAGATTTTTGTTCTGATTTCTTGCCTTGAGGAACTGCTTACATTTGATTAGTTTTTCTTTTACATTCTTGTCAGCACAAACGCAAACATTCTTGACTGTGTACCTCTTATATGGGGAAGCGCTGTAGTCATCCTGAATGTAAACCATTCAAAATCTATGTTTTCCCCCACTTTTTAAAAGTACAAGGAAACCTGCTTTAGTGACCAATAATTGTTTATAAAGACCATCTCTATTGAGGCACTCTATGGAGCTGGTCATTATGTCTAACATGATTAATTTTGATTTAATGTCCTGGAGGGTGTTTCACAAAGATCCTAAGTCGAACTTAACTCTAAGTTGGACTTACAAATTATGGAGAGCCATTTGTAGCCTTCAAATAAAATATATTCAAAAGCCAAAATTGAAGTATTTTAGACTTTTCATAAATTCCACATCAAGAACATGAAATCTCCTTGATAATAGAAAGTATGAATGATTTGAATCAACATTTTATGCCTTTTAAAATAACTTTAAAAAAATATTTTCAAAGATGCTAATGGCTTTCCATAATTGTTAAGTCCAACTTAGAGATAAGTTTAACTTAAGATCTTTGTGAAAACCCCCCCCCTGATTTGTTTTCCTGTAGCAAATCTACATGGTCTCTAGTATTACCCTTGATAGTACTCATGCAATCATTTTACCTCTTTTTTAAAAATTCAACTCTACTAAATCTACTCATGATCGACCATTGTAATGCAAAATAAGACATTGGGATTTTATTGTCAGTACAGCTTGTAAAGTTTTGCTCAGTACTCTTTTTTTCTTGTTTGGTATTTTTGATATCAAAAGATATATAACTATTCTATCTAACAGTTTAAGCACTTATAGTTGTCAGTACTGATCTCCATCTCCATCATGCAAAAAAGTATCACAGTAATTTCACTCAAAACCGTCGCTAGACCGCGCTATCTCTGCGGTGTGGGAGGTACAATGTCGTTTCGGTCCGCCCAACAGCGAGCCACGGCGAGCCAAAACGGCATGCCACTGGA